AAACACAAAAGCGTTTCAAACCATTTTACAGCAAGCGAGTGTTTCTCAAAGATGTTCTTCATAATACAGAAACCTTGTTAATAAAAGAAGCACATAACCTTATCATTTCATTCTTTTTATGTTATTGAAAAACAATGTGGCAAGATTGCAAAATTATTTAAGTTTTATATATTTATCTTCTACATTACCCATTTCTAGTAACGAAAACGTGTTTTTCTATCACTATTATGTATTTCAATTTCCTCCCCATTATTTATGTTGTTATAAGCAACTTAAGTTATGAGAGGGGGGAATTAATTAGAAAATATATAAGAAAGTCATTGTTCATAACAAGAATCTGAAGATACTAAACAAAATACTAGCCATTCAGTTTGGGAGTTGCATTTTAAGTGAACTATTTCATCCACGAAACTTCATACAAAATGTAAACGCAACAATCCAACTTCCATATCATATTCATATGCGATCTATACTCAAAATACCATGCAAGGCATGCATGGCAGGATTGCCAGTCGGCCACAAGGGAAAGGTTGGTGCACATACGGTAAACTCTATCATTTATGTCACCAAACTGACATCACTGGCCACAGATTGTCAAAAGCAAGCCGTAGTGATCACTAGGCAAAACAGGGAGCTCCAGCTTCTTGATCTCCGTCCTCACTTTTTTTTCCTTAATATAAGATAGACCTGGTATTGCATCCATCCCAATCATTTCAATTTTACTCACTCTAAAATCATGCAGACTACACAAAAATCGATCTAGTCGCTTCTGCAGTTTCCGGTTGCCAGACAACATCATGTTGGACTTGGTATCATATGTCCATCCATTTTCCTCTGGTCTTAACTCTTCCCAAACGTCAATCCATTTGTTGGGTAAAGGAAATTGACCATCCAACTTGTCATCCCAGTTCATGTCACCACAAAAAATCACATTTTGGTTCTTGTTTAAAAAGTTGAGGGCCTCCTTTGCCTGATCTACACGTTCTTTACTGTACATCTGATCCCAATTTGGAGGGCCGGGGCAAGGACTTTCAAGATGGCTAGTGGCAACAACCAAATGTTTGTCCCCCGGGACTTCAACTTCAGCAACACAAAGTTCTCTCCCCATTGCAGAGTATCCAAAGGGTTTACAGCTGAAGGACTTCACTCGCAATTTGCTTAACTACATATTAATTCATCTGTCAGATGATATCATGCTTACTAAAAGATGCATTCATCTTATGAAATTAGCAAAACACTTTCTCAAACAACAAGACAAGCAAGAAACTCGTAGAAAAGCAGATACCATTCTCTGGCATTTGAAAATAAATCCCAGTACAAAAGAGATATCAAACATTCACCTGCATGCAAAAGTATGGTCTTGAATCTGCCATCTGGTTCGAAACTGAGCTTTGATACATTTTCCACCAGCTAGATTGCCGAAAGATGTCATATATATTCGGGGTGACCTCCTGGACGACAAAAGTGGTCATCAGATAAAAGTTGTAAAAGGCTAAATATAATGATATTTCCAGTCAAGAGTGTGAGGAAACCTGAAAGCAAATGAGATCTGGGCAGTGCTGTTGGATAAGGTCACCAAGAGTTTTCATTCTCTTGTGCACTTCTAGATCTTCTCGGAACCAGACATTGTAACTCAGAATTTTCAATGTCGTCAAACCCACACCAGAAGACCCAAAACTAGTTCCCTCTGTAAATATTTAACTTATTCATAGTGAGAAACCCCATGAGGTTCACAGAGTGCAAACCAGGAACAGTTGAAGAAATAAAATACATAATAACTAACTCAACTACAGAATCTTCCAAGTCATTACAGGCATAAGTAGAACTTTAAGACCATCTCCAGCATCTCTGAAATATGATACTACTACTTAGCTATTTTGGCATAAATCTAATAGAAAAGGTGCTCCAACAGACAAGCTAAACATTAAGCTAAAGGATTTTGAAATTTTCAGTTACCTAGTGCTCTCATCTCCCTCTCGCCAAAGCATCCGTTTTCTTCTTGATGATTAAAGCAACAAAACATTTCTTACTCAAAATCAATTGCTCTGTAGTTTATTGCGAATGGGTTTTGCTGCTGCTTCTTGAAATTGGTAGCTTGAGATCTAAATTCCTTTGTAGTTCAATTGAAATGAAGAAGAGGATAAGGGGAATCTATTGCAGACTCAAAAGTAAATTAAGTATTTTAGATGAAAATCAAAGATGATTTTATGCCTACCAGGTCCACCTGATAAGTTGGAGAAGAATTTAGCGATTCTTACTAAGTTGGTGGCTTTGAGAATATACAGATACTATGCATTACATTTAGAAATGGTAGTTCTCAACTTCCAGTGACCTTTGTTCAAAAAACAAATGGTCAGCATGATAGAATAGAATGGCTGTTGGAGTAATTGGAATGGGTCATTGATAAAAGGTCAAATCTTGAAGCGTCTACTCTCACTTTTCTCAGCAGTATACTAACACTCGTTCCACCTATATTCACAGAATAAAGCTACCCCCATACAGATTACACAACGACCCATCACCATGTACATTCAATAGCAAAGAAGAAAATTAGCAATCGATTAGGAAGAAAGTTCACACCTTTATCAGTTCAAGCATGAAACAAATCAAACCCAAAATAAAAACGCAGATTATGGAATCTAAACGTACCCGACACATTCATTCCCTTATCGGGCACCTTGACCCCTCCAGACACATTGAAATTGGAAGAACCCAATACAGTCGTCCCCTTATCCGACGCCTTGACCTCTCGAACCACATTGAAACTGGAAGAACCCGACACAGTCGTCAACTTATCGGACGCTTCTCGAACCACATTGAAACTGGAAGAACCCGATACAGTCGTCAACTTATCGGACGCCTTGACCTCTCGAACCACATTGGAACTGGAAGAACCCTGATTAACCTCAACTGGATCTTCAACCCTCTTCCTCTTGCAACGTTGCAGGGGCAAGAAAACAGAGCCTACCGAAGAATCGAGGTCTCCACTATCAAGCCCCGTATCGGTCAAATCCTCAAAACTCGAGAGGGACGAGATTGAAGCCCTGGTGTCACAGACTTCACAGTTAGAGTTCTTGTAAGCGTTCAAGAAAGTGCAGGCCTTGCATGACCATTTTGGAATAGAAGAAGATGCTGGTGATGGGGGTGGTGATGATGATGATGGTGATAAGCAGATTTGGCAAGTGGGTTTTTGAGATGGGGTTGGTGGGTTGACAAAGGTGCATTTTTTGCATGCCCAAGACATTTGTACGGTCAGAGTATAACAGGTTTTTCTAGGGTTTATTATGGGGCGGTGGAGAAGATGACTTGGGAAAGTTAGCGAAGCTGCTGTACTGAACAACTTTATCGCCATAAACTTTTGGAGGGCATTGTTAGGAACGAAAACCCAAATTTGAAAACTAGCGCTCGCTTTTTGGTATTTTTGTTGTTCTACTCTTCTGGTTCCATGATCTTACATATCCTCTGTAACTGTTCTGTGCTGGACTACCGTCGGACTACTTAAAGAATGTCAAACGACGCAAATAATGAAGTCGTTCATTATTAGTCAACGACACTAGTTAATTAAAATTACAAGGGAAATATTATGGCAAAAAGTCACTTTTGGTCCCTGTGATTTACTAATTTTACCATTAAGGTCCATGTGGTTTCAATTTCGTCACTTTTATCCCTGTGGTTTCAATTTGATGCAATTTAAGGACAATTCCCAATTTCTAATACTTATTGAGGGGCATTTCGGTCCAAACTTGCAGCCCCTCCCCAACCACCTCCACAGCCACTAGCCCCTCCAAAATCTCCTCCCTTTTGTAAACATTTACAATCCCACTGTCTAAACCAACAACAAACAATGCTCCTTAGAGATGTACAAAGAGATGTACCATTTATACAACCTTCATCAACAATTTTTTTAGAGATTATGTTGAATTACATAATAAGAAACTATCAAAGCTTGTGACACTTGCACAAGGTGCAATAAGAGCTTCAATTGATGACGCTGTTGTAATCCTAGGTTACTTTTATGAAGCTTACAAAAGACTGAAGTAGACTTGCTCTGGCTACCTTGTTTTTCTTTGGGTTCAAAAAAGAAAATTAAAGAAATGTATAGATGGCCATAATTTTTATCAACAAAAATTCAAATGGAGCATTGTGCTACTGGGTGGCTATAGGGGGGTTGGGGGAGGGGCTGCAAGTTTGGACTGAAATGCCTCTCAATAAGTATCAGAAATTGGGAATTGTCCTTAAATTACTTCAAATTGAAACCACAGGGACAAAAGTGATTAAATTGAAACCACAAGGACCTTAGAGATAAGTTTTTGGAGGGGTTGTTGGGTGGCTGTAGGGGGGTTGGGGAGGGGCTGCAAGTTTGGACCGAAAATGCCCCTCAATAAGTATCATAAATTGGGAGTTGTCCTTAAATTGCTTCAAATTGAAACCACAGGGACAAAAGTGACGAAATTGAAATCATAGGGACCTTAGTGGTAAAAGTGGTAAACCATAGGGACCTAAAATGACTTTTTGCCAAATATTATAGTAAAACTAAATAAAGCTTAAAGAATAGCATCAGCGGGGATAGCTCAGTTGGGAGAGCGTCAGACTGAAGATCTGAAGGTCGCGTGTTCGATCCACGCTCACCGCAAAAATATATTTTTCAGATTCACTTTGTTTTGTTTTGTTTAATAGCAGTCCTGTATATTTGTTTCGTTTGTACAAAAAGCTATTGAAAGTCGGTGGCTCAACAACAAACAACCACCCATTAAGCTCAGAATAGCCAGCCATTGGTTGGGAAAAGGATGATAGCTCTCTCTCTCACCATCTAGTTTTCAATTATTTAACCTAATCAGATGGATGGTGTGAAGAACTATTAATGACAGTACATGAAATTCAACTTTTCCCCTTTTCTTTTTCCCTTTGTTCTTTTTGTGTGTCTCTGTATTTTCATAATCTAACAGACAACCAATAAAGCATCTACAAAAACAAAACAAGCAACCCTATGCAAAACACACTTGTACATTAGAAAAAATTTATTTTATTTCTACCTCAGCATGGAGTCACAAAAGGAATGAATAACAAAGTAGAGAAAATTACAAGAAAAAATACAGATAATATCCTACTAATGGCACTTATTCTGTTGCTGCTCAAGGCAATGAATCTTAATCTGTCTGCTCCACTACTTGAATGGGTCGAGTTCACCACCTGCCTTGTTTTATTGCTCACCTTCTTACTGCACTCAAAACAAAACAAACTATCCCTTGTTAAGTAAGAACAATGCAAACTAGCTTCATTGTATCCAAGATCAACAACAATGGTTATTACTTTTTACATTGCATATAGTATGTGGCAACAAAAGTAAGTAAGTCAAGTCTCTCAAGCTTTACCTTCCAGGAAATATACAGCTCCCGTGACCTGTAATACATTCCCACCGAAAAAGAAGAAGAAAAAGAGCTGTTCAGTACAGAAAATTACCAAGAAGAAGTGCACAAAATTACAAAGTATGTGGAGCCCATTTGGCCCAAAGCAATATATAGCATATCAAAGGTCACATATATTTCTAGTACAATTTTGTTTGCAAGACTACAACAACAAAGAGACATCTTTACGAAGGCAATCTTAGCCTTGGTCTCGAATCTATTGAAGTGTTCTGCCACCATTATTGGGCTAAAGGAAAATCATTGAATGAAAGGGCACAACTAAAAAATCCAAGCATGCTAGAACCATAATGGAGAAGTAGCACTTACTTGGGTCTGTGGTGGTAATGGTAGCCACACCCTTGAAATCACAAGACCCAGCAGCCCTCCCTTCCTTCTGGTAATAGCTATCAAACGCATATGAAGCATGGCTTTTCACATTATTAGGAGAGTAACAATCCTGCCCTGGCTGGATCTCTGAGCAATTGGATCGCCCCGGTCCACATGCCCAATCCAATGCCGCCTGCAGAGTCTTTGAGTCTACTCCATCCATGGCAATGCAATAGGTCTGGTTTGTTGTATCATTAGCCAAAAAAGACCCACTTCCTGATACATGTAGCAAATACACCGCACTCGAATCCCCATAAAATAGGCCCCAATTGGCCTCGGATACCGGCGGAGACCTTAAATCTTCGTTGAACAATTCATAAATGTACACACTTGAAGTGGTCTCAGGGTGCAAAGGGGTGCCACTACGATCAAAAACATGCTTAATAAGATTGGAATTGTATGTATCCGCATTGTCAATAGTAGCAAAAGGCTCTTTAGAATCAGCCTTTGAAGGCCACCCACTCTCAGTAACAAGAACCACAACATCAGTGATATTGAGGTTCTTCATGGAAAAATAAGCAGCATCAATCATAGCATCTAACACATTGGTATAGTGAAGCAAAGTATTGGGATCCACCATTTCTTTGGAGGGTGTTAAAGGCTTGAAAAGGGCATTGTCAATAGGCACCACACCTTTGTTCTGCATAAACACATAGTAAGGGTAAAGATTCATCATCAGAGGCGACCCTGTCTTGGACAAGAACTGAAGCAATGGAAGCACAACTTGCGTCCAGCTTTGGTTGAAGAAAGCCTGAGATGGTGGAAACGGGTCAAGAATTATCGAGGCGGCGTGAGGAGTAGAAATCTTGACATGGGTATGCAAATTTGCAGCCACTAAAGCACTGTAAAGCGACTGAATTGCTGGAAGAAGCAGAGGAGCTGAAGAGGGCACTGTGGTCAGGACCTCATCGCCAACCGCAATGCCCGTTATGAGCGTTTCTGGGTAGTATGCGACGACGTTTCGACCGACCCAAGAAGCAGCAGTGGTGTTGGAGGACCCAATGGCGAGAATCTGATTATTGGGGACACTGATAATGACTCGGATCTTGGTTTTGGCCAAGGCTTTGAGAATGTCAGGGTCGGCATCGTAGAGGCGTATGTGGTTGATCTGCTGGACTTGGAGGAACGAAACGAGGTCTGAGGGAGACAGAAGATTCGAAACGTCTGTGCCTATGTTCACTCCCACGAATGGCTCTTTGTCCTGGTCTTGATTTTGCTGCTGCTTTGTGGTTGTCAAAATGGGTGAAGAAGAGGTAGCTGAAAACCCATCAACAAAATGTTAGAAAGAGTAAAGGGCGTTGCTTGCTTTCTTCATTTTGAAGCAAGCATGGGTTAAAGTGATTACCTTGAGACGCTGTGAAGAGTAAAGTGGAGATAAAGAAGAAGCAGAAGTAGATGGTTGAAGGTGAGAGGTTAGTGATTGCCATTGGAGAGGAGCTTGAGCTTGGCTTCCTCATCCTCTGTTTCTGGTTCAGCTACAGATCCTTGCATTATCCTCTCAAAGCTTCCTCCTTTTTGTGGTTTATTTCTTTCTTCTGGGTTTTGGTTGTTGACCCAAGAGAAGTCAGTGTGTGAATGAAGAAAGAGAAGGCAGTGATGAAATGGAAGAGTGGAAGTCAGTCAGAGGAGAGAGTAGTTCCGAATTTTTGTAGAGATAGCAAGGGCACTGTGGTTGCTTGAAGGAAAGGAATTCACTAAAATGGCCTTGTGTGCCGACAATAAATTATAAAGACTTAAAAGAGGGTAGTTGCAACTTTCTTTGATTCTTTTCCCTAATTAGTTGAGTTGGGTGCCCTCGAGGCAAATAGTTCAGAAGAAAAGGACATACTTGAAAATAAAAGGACTTTCTAGAGCTGTACTGTAGGGTTGCCACTTGCCAGTTGAGAATTGAGAGTTGAGAAGACAATATATAAATAAAGTAAAAAGAACATAAAACGTGGGTTGGGTTTTAGTTCTCCCTCACCTTTGTAGTCTGTACCTTTGGAATGGTTTTTTGAATTACAGGCTGGCCTTCTGGCTTCTGTCAATTTGGAGATTTGGTTACATCACTTGGAATTTGATTCAGGCAAAGGAAAAGAACAAAACATATTACATGGAACAACGCAGTGGTGTGCTGTTAAAATTAATGTTAAGGCATTTCTCTGTGTAGACGTAGAGAGTAGAAGGGAAAGAAAGACATTGCCAGCCAAAAATGGATTGGAAGCACGAGCATACTTTGGGGTAGGGGGGTAGCAAACAAAACAAAACAAAATAATACAGACACAGCAGTATATACGGTTCACCAGTGAATCACGAGCTTATACAGCTGAGGTCTCAGGTGGGTCACCAAAACAAATTTTTCTTGTTTTTTTTTTATCTCTACTTAAAATAGCATGCAGCATTCGTCATTAGAGAACATTCTAAATAATTTCAAACCAGTTCATAAACTATCCAACATTAATCTGATATCTTCTGATGTCGATATTGCCGTTGAGCATCTTTGACAAAAGGGGTTTTATGATAAAGCTTAAGCTTTATACGTAGTGTGAATGAAATGGAATGTAAATCTTGTTCAACCAACAGATTCTGGGTTTTCTTTCTCAACTGTAACTTGGAAAGCTATGCATAGATATGAAAATATGAAAATATGAAAATGGTTAGAGTGCACAAGACAGTGTCAAAACATAGAGAATATTGAGAGGAGAGAGTGGAAAGTGTAGAGAGAATGAGAGTTGTAGAATATTTTCTGATTTTTCACTTATGTTTCATTACTTACAATCAACACATATATATATACAAGTAATCAAGCCCACAATGTTAGGCAAGCCCCCAAAGTTAGGCAACTTGGAATTCCCAAGGTCAAGCCTACAAACATTGTAGGCTACCAAACATTGTAGGCTACCAACCTAGTCAAGCCTCCAAACATTGTAGGCTCCCAACTATTGTAGGTGCCAAACTACTCCTTATTAATTGACTATTGCTAACACTCCCCCTCAAGTTGGTGCATAGATATCACCAATGCCCAACTTGATCAGTGAGTTGTGGAATACTCTGCTAGAAACTGCTTTTGTCAAAATATCTGCCAGCTGGTCTTTGGACTTGACAAACGGAAGTTGAATTTCTTTATTTTCAACTTTCTCTTTAATGAAGTGTCGATCCACTTCAACATGTTTGGTGCGATCATGTTGAACTGGATTGTGTGCAATGGATATTGCAGCCTTGTTATCACACTGTAGATGCATTCCTAATGTAGGTGCATATCCAATCTCTGTAAGCAATTTTCTCAACCAAAGAAGTTCGCAAATTCCTTTGGTCATTCCTCTGAATTCGGCCTCTGCACTAGACAAAGCAACAACATTCTGTTTCTTGCTCCTCCAAGTAACCAAGTTACCTCCCACAAATGTGAAGTACCCTGATGTTGATCGTCTATCAGTGACATTCCCTGCCCAATCTGCATCTGTATAGCCACTGATATTCAGATGACCATTCTTAGAGAACATAAGTCCTTTTCCTGGTGCGGACTTCAAATATTTAAGAATCCGAAGAACCGCATCCATATGATCTTCACTTGGACAATGCATAAACCGACTAGCAACACTTACAGCATACGCGATGTCGGGTCGGGTATGGGATAGGTAGATCAGTCGTCCCACCAATCTTTGATATCTTTCTTTGTTAGTGGGTACTTGATTGGGATATTCCCCAAGGCGGTGATTCTGAACAATTGGAGTGTCCACAGGTTTGCAATCTAACATTCCCGTTTCTGCCAATAAATCTAGAACATACTTCCTTTGTGAGAG